AATTAGGTTATTATTTATTGAGGTGGTAATAATAAATTTGAATCAACATGAAAAATAGAGAAATGTATTCAATATATTGACAGTTGTGTGTACAAATGGTAAATTTAGTAGAAGCAGGAATAAGGTTACAAGGAGATGTAACAGATATTAATAAAAATAGCCCTAAATACACATTTAAATACAGAAAATTTGTGCTCTCTTAAATCAAAGAAAGCTTATGCCATTGAATTCAGTAATTTTAAAACCAAGATAAAATTGTCTTGATCCAATGCATGGAAATTTTAAAGAGAATGACAATTTTGATTCTCGAAACATAAAGAAGCTATAAAAAAAGTGTCCTTGAAAGTGTAAAAGAATGTAATGTTCTAAAATTATTTGATAGGCCATAAAGATGGAGGTTGCTAAGACAACTTGAACATTATTTAGTGCATTCATGATATGAAAATATAAGTGCCCAAGAGAATCATCATTCCTTGGCAGTGCTAAGATTGCTTTCCATGTGGATATTGACATACTCAGATGAAATTAAGAAAATGAAAGACAAAATAAAAAATAGAAACCTGATGCACATGGAAATTAAAACTTTGCCTTGCCATTAGTAACAATGTGTATTTTAATGTGAGCCATAACTAAAAAATATGTGGATATTTGGTGAAAAAACAGTCCGGAATAAACTGGAAAAATTACAGTATGATACAGACTTGCAGTTTGGAAAATTTCCACAATCAGAAAATAATTTACAGTTCCAGGAGCATCTAGAAACATTAAGAATGTATCCTATGCTGATGACCATGATGGTGCTGGCACTGCAATGTACTCAAATCCTATACACATGACAGTTGCTTGGACAACTTCCAGCATTTAGAGTGAGTTGATGACCACACAATTATAAATCAAACCATGGTACCCATCATTTCCCTGTTAGGAATGTCACAAATTGGGTTATTCATTACACATGCAGGTGATAGTAGTAAATGACAAAATAAATATGCATTCCATGGAAGACATTTAATTTTGATTATATGGTGTATAAATTAGTAATTTGGAAGAAACAGAGTCATAATCATATAGAGATGGGCTAATAATTGGATGGTAGAGTAGGGAGGGAGCTTACTGCTCTAGCCCAGGAGAAGATAGTTTTAAAAAAGTGGAAATAGAGTAGTCTCAGGGAAGAGTTAGGGAAAAAATGACAGAGGAAATTCTACTGACATGAGAGGGACACGGTGGACCCACATGGAGGGCATGGTGCCCACGGCTCATGACTCCAACAGCTGAGAGTCTATGCACTAGAACTGGAAAGTGAGGTGAGACAAGACCACAGTAGCCTGAGCCACCAGCAAAAATGTGGCAGGAACCTAGAGGGAATGAGGCTTATATATCTGAGGGAAAGTGTGCCAGCCAAACTAGAGGAGAGGAAAAAAAGGGACAGTACAGACACGTTTCTCTCTCTCCAATCACCTCACAAAGGCATGCAAGCTGATAGAGCAGGAGCCATTTTGGACATACATAACATCTGTGCCAGCTTGTGTCTACACCAGGCAAGCAGCCAAGTGGAGACTCCTGATGCTGGTAGGGAAAAATAACAGGAAACTAGGAACTTGTGACTGTGTGAAACTTCTGAAGCGGGACTGTGAAAAAATAAAAAACTGAGGGTGTGTAGGAAGATTCGCGGTGTGACTGGGACTTTGAGCACTCTCAGTGGGAGAGGCCACAAGCTTGGGGGTTCCTGGTTACCTGATGAGAGACATTTCTGGAGAATCTGAATTTATACTGAGGACTACACAGATCCTTTATGTGGTTCTTTGGACAGAGCGGACAAATATTATACCTGCTGTGAGTCTAATTGGAGATCCTCTGAGAGTAATCTGATGTTTCTCTTATGCATTTTAGAATCTTCTCTTTTTGTTTCACTGTGGCAGTTTGATTACAATGTGTCATGGCAAGGTTGTTTTCTGATCATGTCTATTCAAAGTTCTGTTTGCTTCCTGTACTTGGATGTCTCTTTCTTTTTCCAAACCTGGAAAGTTTTCTGCTAGTATTTCACTAAAAATGTCTTCTAATCCTTTCTCTCTCACCATGCCTGCAGGAACTCCTAGAACCAGAATGTTGGTTTTATTTTTTTTTATATATAGTATCCTGTAGATTCCCAACAGTCTTTTTTAGATTTCTAATCTCCTGTTCTTGTGTTTGGTTTGACTGTATACTTTCCTGTACTCTGTCTACTAAGTCTGGTATTCTCTCTTCTGCCTCACTGATTCTGTTTTTAAGGCTCTCCACTGCATTTTTTATTTGTTGTATTGAATTCTTCATTTCATTTTGATTTCTTTTTAATATCTCAGTTTCATGTTCTGTTGAATTCTTCATTTCATCTTGATTCCTCCTGATAATTTTTATTTCATGGGAGAGATTTTCTTTCATGTCCTTCATGGATTTCAGTAGTTTGTGCATTTGCTTTTGCTTACTTCTATGAAATCTTATGACCAAATTTTTGAGTTCTATTTCTTGCATTTCTTCTCTCATCATCTTCATGACCTAGTATTGGAATGTCATGTTCTTTTGGGAGCATGATGATGTTTTCCTTATTCTTGCTTCTTGGATTCTTGCATTTGGCATTTGTGGAAATACTCATCTTTTTTTTTTTTCCTGGCAGTTTTTATCATTGTATTATGACTGTAGATAAATGGACTTCCTGCTTTCACTGAATCTCTAGAGGCTTGTAGTGGGTGTGGCCAGAGAGCTCTGTTCAGTTTTCAAGGGTAAAGGGTATGCCTAAGGTGACACACCCAGGTTTGACATGGTAAATCTTTTTTTAATCAGAAGGGAGTTATATTCTGTTCAGCTGAGTTCTTCTCTTCAATGGAGACCAGTGCCTGAGTACTAAATCAAGTGGGTATAATATTCACTATGTCCCAAGGACCACATAAGGATCTGTGCTCTCAATGTGGGACCTCTGTCCTTAGTGAGAATTAACAGTAAATCTAGTCTTCAAACACCTGTTTAGCTGGGAGCCTAGGAAAAAGTGCTCAGGCAAGTAATATTGTGAAAAATTAGTTCTAAGTAATATGAAAGATAACCCAGACAAAACAGCAGTCCAGCAAATCATTCAACCTCACTGAAACTACCAGAGGCTACATCATTCATTTTCTATTAAATCTGTTTATAATAAGATTTAATTTGATGAACACTTACAAGAAGCTGTGGGGACTTAAACAGGGATGAAGAGCTATTTCTTATGGGTAGTAATGGAGGTGGAATGGATTAGTTGCACAGCTATTATCTAGATGGGAAATAAAAGAGTTACTGAAGCTAGATGCATCATAGCATTTGTAGCCCTGTTATCATGGGATAGCCAAGCAACCTAGGAAAAGTGTTCCTCCTGAGGGTATCCTGAGGAACTAACTGAATGTAAATCAGATTTATATCAATCCAGAAAGGACTTTGTAAATTGGAAGGAATAAAAGTACACATTTTCAATAAAAATGAGGGCCACCTGCAGGAGCAGGGAATAATGCAACAAAAAAAGGTTGTGAAAAATTACAAGTTAAATTAATACAAAAGTGTACTACAGGGGCCAGCACTGTGTCACAGCAGGTTAATGTCCTGACCTGAAGTGCTGGCATCCCATATGGGTGCTGGTTCGAGACCCGGCTGCTCCACTTCCAATCTAACTCTCTGCTATGGCCTGAGAAATAGTAGAAGGCCCAAGTGCTTGGGTCCCTGCACCTACATGGGAGATCTGGAGGAAGCTCCTGGTTTTGGATCAGCACAGTTCTGGCCATTGTGGCCAACTAGGGAGTGAACCATTGGATGGAAAATTCTCTCTCTCTGCTTCTGCTCTTTTTGTGTAACTCTTTCAAATAAATAAACCCTTTTTTTAAAGAATTACTACATTTATGCTCCTGCTTCTCTATTGCAACGGGTACCACATGGATAGACTTCATTCCATGTTCTTGTCTCAAGGCAATTAGGAATAGAATGAAAAAGAGTAGAAAAGTGGCATCATGAATGAAAAAGGTATTATGCACTCAGTTGTCACTCCCCCTCTTCATAGAGGAACGACACTAAACCCTGCCTAGGTTTCCTATCTGAGTCACGGCACCATTATGTTGCTCCCCCTCTTCGCGGAGGAACGACACAGGACTCTGCATTGTTCTTTTGTCTGCTCGGCCCTTCCCGGGTTTGCTGCTGGTTCTTCCCGGGTTGGCTACCGACCCTTCCACCTCCGTGGAAGGGCGGTTCCCCCTGCCACTTTCCCCACTTCCACGGGGGAGCGGCACACCGCCAGCTGGCTCTCTCGGGGGCTGCTCAGATGTTATTCGGATAGATGTTCCCCTTAGATGTTCCTGGTGCATGTTGTCTCTCTCCTCCTTTATAGTCCTCTTCCACCAATCCCAACTCTGCTACCCACATGCCGAGTATGCTGCTCTCCTCCAATCAGGAGCAGGATCAGCTCCTGCAGGTCATCACTCAAGTTGGCGAGAGGCAGCTGCGTAGAAGTTGTTACTCCCTTCTCAGCGCCATATTGTGGGAGAGCAGATGCATAGAATAAGTCTTAATTCCAGTAACAGTCTAGTCCGAGTTGCTCCCCACACTCAGTAATACAGGAAAATTCAGATGAGTGTTGCAACTTATAGGGTTTCAGGTTGTCCCTTTAAAGAATGAGAGTAATGTGTGTGGCAACATCTACTTGCATATTCAAATAGACCTTGGGTAGTGGAGTCTAATCCAGATGTGCACACAGATAAGTTGAAATTTCTCATGGGTATATAGGTCACCACACACTCATTCCATTGTGTTGCACACAACACTTATTATCCAGGGCCGGGGTACACTATTCTGGCTGGAACATGTGTCACTTGATATGCCTATGGTCACATCATTGGTTTCCACTACAATAATGTGGGGAAAGGGTCCTGGGTGGCCAAAAAAGCAGCTATAAAACAAGTAACTTTGTAATTGATGAAGATGGTATTCCAAATAACTGTTGAAATAACTGTTACTCAACTTTTAAATATTTATTAACAAAATTTACACAAGAGAGCACAGTTCAGTTCATATACTTCATTCCACTCAGAATAATGAGAAACCAAAAGTTCCGGTTGAATAACAGAAAAATTTCTGAAGAGCGGTTAACCACTCTCTGTCACAATTCATCATGAAAATTGCCCAATACTCACTAAGGTGTGATTCCACCAAAGAATTCTTCCAAACAAATTATACTTCAGGGACTTCTCTCTGTAATCTTGCTATGTTTTGGGGAAGTTTGCCTAATAATAAAGGTATTTCCCATTACAATAAATCATAGGATTTTTTCTTTCTGTGAGTTGTCAGGTAACCATTGAGAGGTGACATATGGTACATGACTTTTCTATACATGTATGTTTTCTCATTTCGGAGTCTCTTCATGTGAATTGATTAATGGCAGAAAAATTTTTTCACATTCATTAAATTGACATTTTACTGTATGAATTCTCTGGTGTTAGTTGATGTTTAATTTCTCTTTTTTTAAGATTTTTATTTATTTGACAGAGTTACAGACAGTGAGAGAGACAGAGATAAAGGTCTTCCTTCTGTTGGTTCACTCCTCAAATGGCCACAGTGGCCAGAGATGCACTGATCTGAAGCCAGAAGCCAGGTGCTTCTTCCTAGTCTTCCATGTGGGTGCAGAGGCCCAAGCACTTGGGCTGTCTTCTACTGCTTTCCCAGGCCACAGTAGAGATCTGGATTGAAGAGGGGCAGCTGGGACTAGAACTCGCACCCATATGGGATGCCAGCATAGCAGGTGGAGGATTAATCTATTGCTCCACGGCGCCGGCCTGATGTTTAATTTCTGGCTATGGTTTTTTGAGGTCTATTGCACTTGAAGGATATCACCTTTTTTGAGTTGCATATTTATGCAAGCCTGAATTCTATGAAAATATACTTCCACATTCATTACACTCCTAAGAAACCACTTGTGTGAATTTTCTGATGTATAATGCCATTTCTGACAAATGACTTTTTGTCACACTAATAATATTTCTGAACTTCTTCATTTTCTTTAAAAATTTATGTTATTTATTTGAAAGACAGAGTTAGAGACAGACAGAGAAGCAGAAAGTGGTCTTCCAACTGCTAGTTCACTCCCCAGATGGATGCAATGGCTGGAGCTGCAGCGATCCAAAACCAGGAGTCAGGAGTTTCTTCTGGGTCTCCCACGTGGGTGCAGGGCCATCTTCTACTGCTTTCCCAGGCCATAGCAGAGAGCTGGATCAGAAGAGGAGCAACTGGGACTAGAACCAGTGCCCACATGGTATGCCAGCATTTCAGGACAGGGCTTTAACCTACTGTGCCACAGCGCTGGTCCCAACCTTTCTTCCTTATGGGAGTGCCTATTGTATGGGATGTAATTTCCAGCAAAAGTCTCTGTCACATGGTTATGTTGATTTTGCAAAAAGTCCTTCACATTCATTATATCCTTAAGTTCTCTCCCTTGTTTGATCTACATGTTATGAGGTATTCCTTCTGACAAAAGGCTTTCCCACATTTATTACAAGATTTCCACCATGTAATAAATTCTCTGATGTTATATTGTGTGATTTTGGCAGAGTTTTCCAACATTCATTCCATTCATAAGGTTTCTCCCCCATGTGAATTCTGATGTTTTATGAGGTGTTACTTATGGATAAAGGCTTTTCCATATGCATTATATCCGAAGTGTTTTCTCCCATATGAATTAGATGATGTGCAATGAGGGCTGAATTATGGGGAAAAGCTTTCCAAGTCATTATGTCCAAAAGGTTTCTCTTCATGTGCATTTTCTGATGCATTCTGAGATGTGACTTATTGCCAAGGGCTTTTCTACAGTCATTGCATTCATGAAGTCTCTCCCTGGTGTGAATTCTGTGGTGTGATATGAGCTATGATTTATAACATATGATTTATAAAGGCTTTTCCACACTTACTAGATTCATAAGGTTTCTGCCCTGTGTAAACTGTTTTGATATGAGTATAACTTATACAAAAAGGCTTTTCCACAGTCATTACATTTATGAGGTTTCTCCCCTGTGTGAATTCGCTGGTGTATGATGAGGTTTGACTTTCGTCCAAAGGCTTTTCCACAGTCATTACATTCATGAGGTTTCTCCCCTGTGTGAATTCGCTGGTGTCTGATGAAGTTTGACTTTTTTGTAAAGGCTTTTCCACAGTCATTGCATTTATGAGGTTTCTCCCCTGTGTGAATTCGCTGGTGTATGATGAGGTGTGACTTTTGTCCAAAGGCTTTTCCACAGTCATTACATTCATGAGGTTTCTCCCCTGTGTGAATTCGCTGGTGTATGAGGAGGTCTGGCTTTCGTCCAAAGGCTTTTCCACAGTCATTACATTTATGAGGTTTCTCCCCTGTATGAATTCGCTGGTGCATGAGGAGGGATGACTTGTGTCCAAAGGCTTTTCCACAGTCATTACATTTATGAGGTTTCTCCCCTGTGTGAATTCGCTGGTGCATGAGGAGGTCTGGCTTTCGTCCAAAGGCTTTTCCACAGTCATTACATTTATGAGGTTTCTCCCCTGTGTGAATTCGCTGGTGTATGATGAGGTCTGGCTTTCGTCCAAAGGCTTTTCCACAGTCATTACATTTATGAGGTTTCTCCCCTGTGTGAATTTGCTGATGTATGAGCAGGGCTGACATTTGTCCAAAGGCTTTTCCACAGTCATTACATTTATGAGGTTTCTGCCCTGTGTGAATTTGCTGGTGTCTGATGAGGTCTGAGTTTTGTCCAAAGGCTTTTCCACAGTCATTACATTTATGAGGTTTCTCCCCTGTGTGAATTCGCTGATGTTTCCTTAGGCCTGACTTGTGTCCGAAGGCTTTTCCACAGTCATTACATTTATGAGGTTTCTCCCCTGTGTGAATTCGCTGGTGTATGAGGAGGTCTGGCTTTCGTCCAAAGGCTTTTCCACAGTCATTACATTCATGAGGTTTCTCCCCCGAGTGAATTTGCTGATGTATGATAAGGTCTGGCTTTCGTCCAAAGGCTTTTCCACAGTCATTACATTTATAAGGTTTCTCCCCCGAGTGAATTTGCTGATGTATTATGAGGTCTGGCTTTCGTCCAAAGGCTTTTCCACAGTCATTACATTTATGAGGTTTCTCCCCTGTGTGAATTCGCTGGTGTATGATGAGGTTTGACTTTCGCCCAAAGGCTTTTCCACAGTCATTACATTTGTGAGGCTTCTCCCCTGTGTGAATTCGCTGGTGTATGAGGAGGGATGACTTGTGTCCAAAGGCTTTTCCACAGTCATTACATTTATGAGGTTTCTCCCCTGTGTGAATTTGCTGGTGTATAAGGAGGGCTGACTTTTGTCCAAAGGCTTTTCCACAGTCATTACATTCATGAGGTTTCTCCCCTGTGTGAATTCGCTGGTGTATGATGAGGTTTGACTTGTGTCCAAAGGCTTTTCCACAGTCATTACATTTATGAGGTTTCTCCCCTGTGTGAATTCGCTGATGTATTAGGAGGGATGACTTGCGTCCAAAGGCTTTTCCACAGTCATTGCATTTATGAGGTTTCTCCCCTGTGTGAATTCTCTGGTGTACTATGAGGTCTGACTTCCACAAAAAGCCTTTTCCGCATTGAAGGCATTTATAAAGTTTCTCTCTTGTGTGAATTCGCTGATGGTTTATGAGGTATGACTTCTGTGTAAAGGCTTTTCTACAGTCACTACATTCATGAGGTTTCTCCCCTGTGTGAATTTGCTGATGTTTCCTGAGGACTGAATTTTGTCTAAAGGCTTTTCCACAGTCATTACATTCAGAAGGTGAATTAAAACTGAGTGATTTTCCACAAGGTTTACATGTGTAAAGTTTTTCCCTTGTATTTAGTTTCTGGTTTATTGCAAGATGTGACTGGTGAATGACAGGTTCAACATACATAATGTACTTATAAAATTTCTTTCTTGTGTGAGTTTGTTGATGCATATTGAGGCTAGAATTTTCATGGATAGCTTTTTCTATTTGCGTTGCTTTTCCAAAAGTGACAGTTGACTTATTACAGTTTTCTGCCATATGAACCCTCTCAGATTTACAGAACATCTTTCTTGTGAAGACTTTTGCTTGTCCAGTGGGTCCAAATGGCTGCTTCATGATGTGAATATTGTCAAGCTGGCTAAGAGGCTCACAGAACTGGAGAGATTTTCCAGGTATCTTAGTGTTATCAAATTTCTCTCCAGCCTGTAGTTGATCAGGCCCACTGGGGGGATACACAGTGTGACATTTATTGCATTCCTCAGGCTTCAATCCTGAATAGATTCCCTTTTTAATAATCAGTGTTGGAACATGGCTTGAATTTAAACTAAGTGTTTTTCTTAATTCAATTCTCTTGAGAGATGATGTCTTGTTATTTTTCATAAAATCCTGATTCAGATTTTTGTCCTGACTTTTCTGGTTGATCCTAATCAGGTCATCCCTTTTCATGACCACTGAAATGAGAAAAAAGCAATCATGTCACTGAATCACATGTAACTGTTTCTCCTGGCATACTCATGTAAAGGGAATGAAGTTACTTGTTATCCAAGTGGCATAAGATGTTCACAAAATCAGTATGAGGTAATTATTTGTGACCATTATATGGTTTTTCTCCTTAATACATTAATATACCATGACGTTTCCCAGTGTTCAAACATAATCCTTTTTACTATGGGAATTTGTCAAGGATGGTAGAATGACATTTGTGCTATGATGTGTGGGATACCTGCATCTCAAAACAGTGTCAGTTTGAGCCCTGGCTACTCTGCTTTCAGTACAGCTCTCTGCCTATGTAAACTGGAAGGAAGCAGATAATGGTTCATGTGCCTGGGAACCTGTGAGAAACCAGGGAAGACTAGAGGGATTCTAGAGTTTTGGCTTCAGACTAGTTAGACCTAAGTGTTGCAGGCATCTGGGAAGTGAGCTAATAGAGGACCTCTTTCTCTCTCTCACTATCACTCTGCCTTTCACAAAGATGAAATAACTATAAAATATTTTAAAGAATGGGCAAATATTTAATAAAAATATTCACCCACTACCTAGCAACCATTTTTTTCCCTGTCCTTTTTTCCCAGTTTATTTTTATAAAAATTGTGTGCTTTTTGCTTCTCTGATATCTCAACCATAAACATGAAAAAGTTTTACTGATCATTTACTTGCAGGTGGAGAAGAGTGAAATGTGCCTGTACTTTAAGCAGGACAACATTTAAGGAGTAGGATTTAAATCTATGAGTGTTTCATGCTCAGTCTTCCTAGGTAAACATCATTTGTGGGATTTTTCAAATGAAAAATGACTTTGTCTCTACTCTATGACAACTTCCCCAAATTCCTAAGGACACCCAACACCTTCAGCTTCTCAGAAGTACAACAGGTACAGAAAATTCCCAATATACCACTTTAGTTAAACACTCCCAATCAGTTTGAAGAATTTGTTTCTGCAAACCGGGATGTGTTCATCTTCTTTGAAAGATGGTTTCTAACTCATTCTGAAATCATCAGTGCTGGTTACCTCCTCTAAATTCTTTCTAGAAACATTCCTGTGTGATAATTTGAATTTCTGGAGGCATTTGATCAGTTGCCTCCTATTTTCACTGAAAGCTTCATTTCCTATGCTTTTCTTATCTTTTTATTTGCTTATTTTCAATGATACTGAAAAATAAGAGAGAAATCATACTTCAAACTCCACCCTTAAAGAAATCTGAGTCACTCAACATAACCCCATGAGGCTACTTGACCTTGGGTCTCAAAATCTCATTACTTTCTTGGTGAGTCTAGGATCACTTATTTTCATGTTTAATGTAAGTTCATCCTTAGTTTAGGATTTCTTTTTTCAAAGATTTACTTTATTTATTTGAAGGCTAGAATTATAGAGAGAGAGACAGAGAGAAGTCTTCCATCTGCTGGTTCACTCCCCATATGGGAACAACAACCAATGCTGGGCAAAATGAAGTTAGGAGCCAGGAGTGTCTTTCTTGTCTCCCACATGGGTACAGGGGGCCAAGGATTTGGGCCAACCTCTGCTCTTTTCTCAGGTGCAATAGCAGAGAGCTGGATTAGAAGAGGACCAGCTGGGACTTGAACTGGCACCAATATGCAATGCTAGTGTTGCAGGCTGGAGCTTTAACACACTGCACCACAGTGTCATTCCTAGCTTCATAATTTCTGATGTCACAGCACAGAGGCTTACTCATGACCATCTTTTTTTTTTTTTAAAGATTTATTTATTTGAAAGTCAGAGTTATAAGAGAGAGGAGAGGCAAAGAGAGTAAGGTCTTCCAACCAATGGTTCACTCCCCAATTGGCCACAATGGCCAGAACTGTGCTGATCTGAAGCCAGGAGCCAGGAGCTGCTTCTGGGTCTCCCTCAGGTACAGGGGACCAAGGACTTGGACCATCCTCTACTGCTTTCCCAGGCCATAGCCAAGAGCTAGATCAGAAGTGGAGCAACTGGGTCTCAAACTGGTGCCCATATGGGATGCTGGTGCTTCAGGCTATGGTGTTAATTCACTGCGCCACAGCGCCGGCCACATGACCATCTTTTAGCATTTACTTATTTACTTACTTGAGAGTAAGAGAGACAGAATGAAAGATAAAGACAGACTGAAACAGAGGTTTGCCAACTATAGGCTCACTCCTCAAATGTTTCCAACAGACTATAATTTTCTTATTTATTTGAGAGGCACAGAGGAAAAAAGAGAAAGAGACTAAGAAAGAGAGAGTTCACATTTATTGATTCAGTCCTGAGCAAGTTCTATGCCTGGGCAAAATCATGAGTGGGAACGCAATCTGAGCAATGAGTTAGAAATAAGTTTCTGGGGGCTGGCATTGTGGCATAGCATAAAGCCACCACCTGCAGTGCCAACATCACTTATGGGCACCAGTTTAAGTCCTAGCTGCTCCACTTCTGATCCAGCACTCTGCTATGGCCTGGGAAAGCAGTAGAAGATGGCCCGAGTCCTTGGACCCCTGTACTCATATGGGAGACCTGGAAGAAGCTCCTGGCTCCTAGCTTCAGATCAGTACAGCTCCAGCCACAACAGCCAATTGGAAGGTGAACCAGTGGATGGAAGACCTCTCTTTCTCTCTCTGCCTCTCCTTCTTCTCTCTCTCTGACTTTCAAATACATAAATAAATCTTTAAAAAAAAAAACAGAAACAGGCTGCCGTGGTGGCTCAATAGGCTAATCCTCTGCCTGCGGCACTGGCACACCAGGTTCTAGTCCTGGTCGGGGTGCTGGATTTTGTCCCAGTTGCCCCTCTTCCAGGCCAGCTCTCTGCTGTGGCCCAGGAGTGCAGTGGAGGATGGCCCAGGTCCTTGGGCCCTGCACCCACATGGGAGACCAGGAGAAGCACCTGGCTCCTGGCTTTGGATCAGCGTGGTGTGCCAGCCACAGCACACCAGCCATGGTGGCCATTGGAGGGTGAACCAATGGCAAAAGGAAGACCTTTCTCTCTGTCTCTTTCTCTCACTGTCCACTCTGCCTGTCAAAAAAAAAACAAAAAACAAAAAACAAAAAACAGAAAAATTAATCTTAAAAAAATAAGTTTCTGTATGTTGCCTAATTAACAAGCACTGAAGGAACTAATAAGTGCATGAAGGGAAAGGTATGAAAGTGTAGAGAAGGACAAGTTAGAATTGGGGGAATGTATCAAACCTAGATAAAAGCCTTAGTAACATCAGAAAATGACTGGATTTTTTTTTTTTTAATCAAAGAACATCTTCACTAAGAACAAAAGTTAGAAAGATATTGGTATCTCTAAATGTCTGTGTCTGATGCACAAAAGCAGCTGTCATCAGGAGTAAGGCTTGAGAAAAATTCATGGAAAGAACACCAGTCAACATCTGCACACTTTCTGCCTTGGCCTCCCTGTCTCTTATGTGCAGACTGACCTGAAAGGCTCAGATTCAAGCATTCATCCACCATCCATGGCTCTTCTCCTTGCTCCAACTTGAAGATCAAGTCAGGTTTGGTAATGCAGTGCCCTATTAATGGAAACAAAGTAAGACTTTGTAAAATCACTATCTTGGGTTATTTAAAGGACTACAGCTTGGTTCAGGAGCTATGCAACAAATGTTCCAATTTGAATCTTTTGTTAGATGGTAGATATTCAGATTATTCATGGACTCAATTTCTAATCCTGCCCAATATTAAACATTATAAAGTGTTCCCTTATTTATCAAATAGCAAGAAAATGTTATCACTGGGTGTGTGATGGGTGTCACTCACCCAAGGAGAACAGGCTGCTGTAGGTCTCCAGCATCACATCTCTGTACAGGATTTTCTGAGCATTGTTCATTTTCTGCCATTCTTCCCATGTGAAGTACACAGCCAGGTCTTCAAATGCTGTCATCACCTATAATAATACACTTCCAGTCAACATGTTAACTCTGTCACAAAATAAACACTGACAGTTGTGTATGGATATGAAGGAAAAAAGGAAGGATATGGTTTCACATTAGACTTGTGGAGTGTTTAGAAAGCCACATGGAGCATTCAACAGAGTCAAACCCATGATCTACAGGCTGTGAGACATGCCCAAGCTGGAGGGAACCAGGAGGTTCAAATCACAAAGGCCACATCTGTCAAGGGGAATTGCACAGCAGGCTAGAAGAGGGGCAATACTGACTCTTGACTGGGCAATGTTAAGGAGAAGTATGTAGAAGCATTGAGAAAAAAGGCAAGAAACCATCAGTGAAACTACGATGGGAATGAACAGAAAACAATTTCCAGGAAAACACCATGCATATCATTTCCAATATGTCAGAGAAAAAATATATTAAAAGACAGGGCAGACATTTAGCTTAGTGTTGTTTATGATGCCACCTCAGAGTGTCTGTGATTTGCAATGCCAGCTCTAGTTTCTAGCTCCCAGATAATGCAAACCTGGGGAAGCAATGGTGATGTCACCAATGAAGGAGGCCTAGATTCCATTCCTCAATCCTGGCTTCAGTCCTGCCCCACCTGTTTGGTATGGTTATCTAGGAAGTGAATTAATGTGTCAAAGCTCTCTATCTCTCAGTCCATCAACTTTTTTCTCTATCAAGCTAATAAATTTTTTTTAAGTAAAAGAGAAAATACAGGTAAGACAAAGAATACAAATTAGCTTTTGCCCTTGTCTATGATTATTCTAGTGATAAACAATTGAAATAACATTATACCTAATTAAAGTGAAAGCAATGGAAATACTTGCCCAAAACATTCAAATGATAAACATTTGAAATAACATTATACATAATTAAATGAAAGCAATGGAATTATTTGCCCAAAAAGAGAACCTGGGAATGTCTGCAGTACAATCTGCATTTGTGACTCACTGAGAAAAATGCTTAGAGATTCGTTTCAGAACCTGCAATAGTCACCAGAATTGTGATCCAGCAGGCTAAGCCTCCACCATCAATGCTGGCATCCCATGTAAACAGAGGACTTGAGTCCTTGCTGCTCCAATTCCAATCTAGTTCCCTGCTAACCTGATTGAAAGAGCAGTGAAAATGGCCTGAGTATTTGGACCCTTCCACCAATGTGGGAGACCCATGGAGTCCCAGGCTCCTGGCTTTGGCCTGGCCCAGTCCCAGCCATTGTGGGCATTTGGGGAATGAACACTAGAAAGAAGATATATCCTTTTGTCTCCCTGGCAGGAGTTCAAAGAAAACTCTAGAGGCCAACTGCTGTGGCATAATGGGTAAAGCTGCTGCCTTCAGTGCCAGCATTCCATATGGGGTCTGGTTTGAGTACTGCCTCCTCAACATACAATCTAGCTTTCTGCTATGTCCTGAGAAAGCAGTGGAACATGGTCCAAGTCCCTGGGCCACTGCACCTGCATGGGAGACCCAGAAGCTCTTGGGTCTTGGCTTTGGATTGGCTGAGCTCCGGCCTTTGCAGTAATTTGGAAGGTGAGCCAGCAGATAGAAGACTTTCTCTCTCTGCAACTCTTTCAATAAATAAATGAAATCTTTAAAAAAAAAAAAAAACCCTCTGGTTTCCTTCTGCACTGAACAGTGGGGAAAAAAAGGATATAATAGAATGAATAAAGAATAATAAATACATTAACCAAGAAAACATCAGCTTCACTGTGGAGGAATAATTCTGTAAAAATAGAAATATATAGGAAAATGCATCCACCTATATTAAGTGGCACAGATTAAACAGAAGTTATCATTGGTTTAACAAAAGCATTATCTACAAATTTTGTAAAATAATAATGTAAAAGTAAAAAGAAAAGTTGAGTGTTCAAATGAATAAGGTTATCAGAGATAAACATTATGTTGTTATTAAAGTTTATACTAAAGAAAGTTAACAAATACACATAATGTATATTTAATGCAGTGCACTTTACCAGTAATGATTCCAAGTAGCACCTTTCCCTGTATTCATCCCTTCACAAAACCCTGGATTGGGGCTGGCACTGTGGCCTAGCGGGTAAAACTGCCACCTGCAGACTGGCATCCCATATAGGCACTGGTTTGATTCCCAGCTGCCCCACTTCTGATCCAGCTTTCTGCTATGGCCTGGGAAAGCAGTAGAAGATGGCCCAAGTCCTTGGGCCCCTGTACCCATGTGGAAGACCCAGAAGAATCTCCTGGACCCTGGCTTTGGATTGGCACAACTCTGGCCATTGCAGCCAACTGGGGACTGAACCAGCAGATGGAAGAGCTCTCTATCTCTCTCTCTGCCTCTCCCTCTCTCTGTGTGTAACTCTTTCAAATGAATAAATAAATCTTTTTGAAAAAGACCATGAATTTCACCATTTCAATTGATTTACCCCATGAGATACCAGTAAATGTGATAGAAATAGACAATTTGTTAAAATATTTATTTATATGAAAGAGTTACACAAAGAGAGAAGGAGAGGCAGAGAAAGAGAGAGAGAGAGAGAGAGAGAGAGAGAGAAGGAGGAATAAAGAGAGGTCTTCGAACTGCAGGTTCACTCCCCAGATGGCTGCAATGGCTGGAGCTGTGTAGATCCAAAGATATGAACCAGGAGCTTCTTTCAGGTCTCCCACAAGGGAGCAGGGGCCAAAGGACTTGGGCCATCTTCTACTGTTTTCCCAGGCTGTAGCAAAGAGCTGGATCAGAAGTGGAGCAGCCGAGTCATGAACTGACACCCATATGAAATGCTGGCACTGCAGGCGGTGTCTTTACTTGCTATGTCACAGAACCAGCCCCAGAAATAGACAATTTGTAAAGTATTTGCCTTCTCAGCTTTTCTTTTTCTGACAGTTATCTTCTGAAAAACCCTGGGGCCTGCCTGTTGAAGAGATAGTATGTAGGCTGGTGCCATGGCTCACTAGGTTAATCCTCCGCCCGTGGCACTGGTATTCCAGGTGACAGTCTCAGTTGGGGTGCTGGTTCTGACCCAGTTGCTCCTTTTCCAGTCCAGCTCTCGGCTTTGGTCTGGGAAGGCAGTGGAGGATGGCCCAAGTTCTTGGGCCCTGCACCCACATGGGAGACCAGGAGGAAGTGCTTGTCTCCTAGCTTTGGATCAGCACAGCATGCTGGCCATAGTAGCCATTTGGGGGGTGAACCAATGGAAGGAAGGCATTTCTCTCTGTCTCTCTCTCTCTCACTAACTCAGCCTGTCAAAAAAAGAAAAGAAAGAGATAATATGTAGCCAAGATTCACCACAAACCCCAGACACTTAAGTGAAGCCTCAATCAGTTCCCCAAATGGCTGAACTCTCATTTCTGCTCCTGGACTGATCATAGGAACTGCCCAGCTGAGTACAGCCCAAAACACAGAGTCAGAACTGCAAATCAACTGGCTATTTGTTAAGCCATTGTGTTTTCTGATTTGTCCTACATCAAATGCTGATATATATCAGTAAGTATGGCAGAAAGTTGAATTACATGCAAACTACAATGCATACAACTTCAAAATTTCATTTGGAAGTTCCCATAAAACAGGGCCAGCATTGTCACATAGCAAGTAAACCTGCCGTCTGCAATACAAGCACCCCATATGAGCACTGGTTCATGTTCTGGCTCTTCTGCTTTTGATCCAGCTTCCTGCTGATGGCCTGAGAAAAGCAATGGAAGATGATCCAAATACTTGGGCAAATGCTACCAATGTGGGAGATCCAGGTGAAGATCTTGGTTCCTGACCTCATTCTTTCCTGGCCCTGCTCAATGCAGCCATCTGTGATGTGAACAAGCAGAAGGGAGATCTCTCTGGGTCTCTCCTCTATATACAATACTTTCAAATAATTTTTTTAAAAAACTTAGAAAAAAGCTCCTATAAACACAATCTTTGCCTATCAATTAGACCTTAGAGGTTTCACCTCACCCTGGTTAGAATGGCTCACATACAGAAATCTACCAACAACAGATGCTGGAGAGGATGCAGGAAAAAAGGGACACTAACCCACTGTTGGTGGGAATGCAAACTGGTCAAGCCACTATGGAAGTCAGCCTGGAGATTCCTCAGAATCCTGAATATAACCCTACCATACAACCCAGCCATCCCACTCCTTGGAATTTACTCAAAGGAAATTAAATTGGCAAATAATAAAGATGTCTGCACCATAATGTTTATTGCAGCTCAATTCACAATAGTTAAGACCTGGAACCAACCCAAATGCTCATCAACAGTAGACTGGATAAAGAAATTATGGGACATGTACTCTATAGAATACTACACAGCAGTCAAAAACAATGAAATCTGGTCATTTGCAACAAAATGGAGGAATCTGGAAAACATCATGCTGAGTGAATTAAGCCAGTCCCAAAGGGACAAATAACATATATTCTCCCTGATCTGTGACAACTAACCAAGCACCTAAATGGAAGCCTGTTGAAGTGAAACGGACACTTTGAGAAACAGTGACTTGATCACCCCTTTTCCTAACTATTGATGAACAACTTAATACTTTATCCCTTTTAGTACTTTTTTGTTCTACTTAATACTTTGGTTGAACTCTTTAATTAACACACAATTATTCTTAGGTGTTTAACTTTAACTGAAAAGTGGTCCTTGTTAAATATAAGAGTGCGAATAAGAAAGGGAGGAGATGTACAATCTGGGATATGCTCAATCAGACTTGCCCCAAATGGTAGAGTTAAAAACATGCCAGGGGATTCCAATTCAATCCCATCAAGGTGGCATGTACCAATGCCATGTCACTAGTCAAAGTGATCAATTTCAGTTCAGAATTGATCATAATGATAGGATTAAGAGTCAAAGGGATCACATAAGCAAGACTAGTATCTGCTAATATTAACTGATAGAATTAAAAAGGAGAGAACTATCCAACATAGGAAGCGGGATACACAGCAGACTCATAGAATGGCAGATGTCCTAAACAGCACTCTAGCCTCAGAATCAGCCCTTAAGGCATTTGGATCTGGCTGAAGAGCCCATGAGAGTATTTTAGGCATGGAAAGCCAAGACACACTGGAAAAAAAAATTAAAAAAATAAGAAATAAAAGCCTAAATAAAAGATCCCTGTGAGTGATATCTCAATGGATAGAACAGGCCTTCAAAGAAGGAGCTACCTTTCTCTGAAGGCAGGAGAGAACTTCCACTTTGACTATGACCTTGTCTAAGTAAGATCGGAGTCGGTGAACTCAAAAGGCTTCCACAGCCTTGGCAACACATGACAAGAGCCTAGGGTGATTACTGATGCCATAAACAAGACTGTCAATAGTTAAATCAACAACAGGAGTCACCGTGCACTTACTCACCATGTAGGATTTCTGTACTTAATATGTTGTTCAATGTGAATTAATGCTATAACTAGTACTCAAACAGTACTTTACACTTTGTGTTTCTGTGTGGGTGCAAACTGTTGAAATCTTTACTTAATATATGCTAAATTGATCTTCTGTATATATAGATAATTGAAAATGAATCTAGATGTGAATGGAATGGGAGAAGGAGCCGGAGATGGGAGGGTTGCAGGTGGGAGGGAAGTTATGGGGGGGGGAAGCCATTGTAATCCAAAAGCTGTACTTCGGAAATTTATATTTATTAAATAAAAGTTAAAGAGAAAAAGAATACAGTGGGCAGAAGCATAGCCCAGGTACTAAGTATATAACAGACTAGATTTTAAAATGATGCTTGATCTTACCTATTAAAATAATTTGTGGACCATCAATGGATCATATTTTACAGTAAAATAGTAATAATTTGGTGCATTAATATGGCTGGAAAACAGGGTGAATGCCTTGTAAAGTCTTTGTGAATATTTAAAACTGCACTATCTAGAAATTCTTTACCCAAAACATCCTGAATTCATCTATCCATCACATCCAGTTATCTGTATATTTTTAACAAAGCTATATTTAAAAAAAAAAAACTGCAGTTAAGTAGTGGTTTCTGACACAAATTAGGCAAGAGACAAATATTAGGGTGTCATGGAGCTCCTGCTTTTACTCCTCTTCTAGTCTAAATGAGAATTGCCATGAAATTATAGACAAACTCTTGAGGATTTGAGTGATGGTCTCATGGGCCATTGACTGTTGGCCCACAGCTACTGGTCATTTTTTCTATGTATAGTGTATGAATTGTGCCATGCAAATGCCTGTATCAGCACTTATCTGGTAATTGCCTTTCAGTGACTTCATTCTGCAAATTGAAGGACCTCAGTCTTGAACTTCAATCTTACATAACTTCACCTCAGACCCAGAATAAAATTATTACTTAGTTCCCAGC